TTCTAGGTTGGTTGCTGAAAGTTGCTCCCCATCCTTTTTACCCCCCCCAGCCTGTGAAGACCGAGACAATGACTGTCAGCAGCATGGCGATCAGAAAGAAGATTGAGCCTGAGGCCGTATTGCAGGCTAGAGTCAGTACGATGGAAACAGCCCAGGTGACACGCCCTTCCCCCTCCTCCCCATCCTGGCCCCTGCTCTTGGGAAGTCTCTCAAGAGGTATCTCAAGTAATGCCAGTAAAACCGAGGGAGGGAGTGGGGGATCCCCTTGCCAGCTTTTGACCTCCTGTGATTTCATCACGAGGTCTGTGTTCATGTCTGTATTTCCAGTCAGCTCATAGTATCCCCTAAACTTCCTTCTTGTCAGCAGGTGGATGGGGGAACAACTGGGGGGAAAGAGATGATAACAACTTCCCACTCTGTCACCATGGAAACCACCTGCACTACCATGGTAAGCTGATGTAGCCCCATCTGGCTATCTCCAGTTGGGGCAAAGGTGGGGAGGCAGTGCTGGACATGTGCCTCTCAGTTCCCTCTCCTTGATTTCCCCCTCACAGTACTAAAAACAGCGCGTGTGGTCAAACCTTGAGTCTCTGAAATGAGTTGAGCTTTGGCAGATGCGTGGCTCTGGGCCTCAGGTATCCCAAGAGCCTCTGTCTTATGGGTAGAAGGAGAGGCCATATTCTGACCAGCCAATATGCCTGGAGATTGGGCACTTCTGACAGACCAGTTTTTTCTGTGCAACTAAAGTTTAATCAGAAACATCTGTTTGAGTCCTTATCATTTTTGTAGCCAGTCAGGCAGTCGGTAAACATTTGTTAAGTGCCTGCTATATGTCGGGCTTCGTGCTAAGCACTGGGATCCAAAGAAACCCCCAGATTAGTGAGGGAGACACCATGCAAACAGCTATGTACAAACAAACTACATTACAGCATAGCTTGAAATAATCAACAGAGGGAAGGCATTAGAATAAAGGGGTATTAGAAAAGGTATCATGTAAAAAGTGGGATTTTAGCTAGGACTTGAAAGAAGCCAGGAAGCAGAGATGAGGAGGGAGAGAATTCCAGGCATCCAGGGAGCAATCAGTGAACATACCTGGAGCTGGGAGCTTTGTTCGAGGAACAACGAGGAGGCCAGGGTCACCAGGTTGCAGAATACATAGCAGGGCTGGGGTGGGAGGGTGTAAGGTATAAAAAGACTGGAAAGGTCAGAGAAGGGCCAGGTTACAAAGGACTTTAAATGCCAAACAGAGGATTTTATATTTAATCCCAGAGGTGGATAGGGAACTGCTGGAGTTGATTGAGTAAAGAGTGGCATGGTTGGAACGGAGCTTGAGGAAGATGACTGACAGCTGGGTGGAGGATGGACTGGACGGGGGTGAGATTTGTGGCAGGGAGGCCGCCCAGCAGGCTACCTCCTGACAGTGTCTGCATTTACATTCTACGAGTCACCTATGTGACCTTGGGCTGACTCCTATCCTTTCCCTCCTTCCCACCTGATTTTCCTCTCCTTTAAAGTAAGTGGGTTAGACTAGGTCACCTTTCTGTTTGCTGCCAGATCTGGCATTGTCTTCTGTGCTCTCGGGCCCCTTCCTAAATCCTAGGATCCCAACTTGGTCAGTAAAATCCAGGCTCCAGGAGTGGGTCTTTGATGTGGGCCTCAGAAAGCACAGTGTGATAGAAAAAGACCACAGTTCCACCGTGCTTAATAAGAACAATATAACAAAAAACCTTGGACAAGTCACAACCCCCTGAGTCTCAGCTTCCTCAGCTGTAAAATAAAGAGTTTGTACTATATGGCCTCTGACATCTCTTCTAGCTCAATAGCTGCTGTTCAGTCATGTCTAACTCTTCTGTGACCCCGTTTGGGGTTCTCTGGGTAAAGATGCTAAAGTGGTTTGCCATTTCCTTCTCCAGCCCATTTTATAGATGAGGAAACTGAGGCAAACAGGAGGCCAGGTTTGAACTCAGGTCTTTCTGACCCTTGGCCTGATGCTCTATCTACAGTACCACCTAGCAGCTAGCTCTATAGCTATGAAACTATTCTTATTACCCAGAATCATGGGTACCTCCTTCCCAACAACTGCCAAAGAAGAGTAGAAAGAACTCTGTATTACAGATGCAGAGATATGAGCTCAGCCTGTAGCTTGTTGTATGAACTTGGGTTAGGGCACTTCCCTCCGAGCCTCATGTTCACTTATCAGTCCCCTTGGGTAGTAACCCCTGCTCTGGCTGCCTCACAAGGAATTTAGGAATCGAGATGAAGAATTGCTTTAAAAAGTTAAAGGTTCCCTTTATGTATAAGCGATCTTGAACATCGGCGATCCAAGAATGAAGACAGGGATGGAGAAACTATAGGTTATTGGGGCAAACATATCAAATCTGGTTTTTATCCCTTGGAAAATTTTTGTATTTCTTTTTAATTTTTAAAGTAAGTCCTTGTTTTCTTGTTATTTGCTACTTTCTCCTAAACACAAATTGCAGAGAGAAAAAAAAAGACAAAAGACAATTTAATTCAACCTAATTCCTGGTTTGGAATTCCTAATTTCTTTATAACATAAAAAGATTCAAATGATTTTCTTCCCCACACTTCTCCCCAGCCACTTGGCTTTTGTTCCGCTTGCCCCCAGAAGGTCCATTGTATTAAAGTTAAAGGGAAAGGGACTATAGTTCAATATAAGGAAACCATCTGAAAAATCAGAACTATTCAACAATGGAATGGGCTACTTTGAAAGGTAGTGAGCTTGCCGTCGCTGGTACTGTTCAAGTTAAAGCTGGACTGCTGGATGTCATAGGAGAAATCCTACCTGGAAAGAGGGGCTTTCAGAGATACCGCTTTCCCCTCTAGCTTAGACACAAAGGATTATAGAACTAGAAAGAATCACAGAACCCACTGAGTCCAGCCCTCTCATTTAATAGACTGGGAAGGTGGGGGGGTTCAGAGGGGAGAAATAACTTGCCAAAGAGGCTTGCTTCACAAGTTAGAAACAGAGTCAAGACCCTAGAACTCAGGTCTCTATTCCAAATTACTTTCCATTTAGTTTGTATATATTTTGCTTTGATTTGTCGGTCTTAAATGTTCCTCTAGTAGAATGTAATCTCCTTTTATCCCCAGCATTTAGCACAGTGCCTGGCATGTCACTGGCAATTAATAAATGCTTGTTGAATGATGAATGAGTGACTGTATCACTTACCTGGAGATTCAATAATACCACTGCTACTCATTAATTATTTGTTAATTAGTAATTCATAAGAAACTCTGTGGCTGTGGGAACTCTGTGTTCTCACGCTCAAGTGCACTGGTGCCCATGGGGGAGGGCCCTGGGTGCCTGCCCACTCTCCCCTCGAGCCTGGCAAGCCCTTGAGGTCTACCTGTTGTTATTTCTCAAGGAGAACAGTCTGAAGTCTGGGAAGGGAGCAGCAGTCATGATTCCCGGACCGCAGACGGTGGCAACAGAAATCCGTTCTCTTTCTCCGGTAAGGGATCCATCCTCCATCCATTTCCATGGTTGCCAAAAGCCCAGAGGCTGGGGGAGTGGAGTAGACTGCCAGTTCTAGTTATTAGAGCCGTTCCTGGAGTTGAGACCATTCAGGTTCCCTATGCATCCATTAGGAATTTTTTCCTTATTATTAAGGCAAAACGTATACCTCTGTATAATTTCCATCCATTGCCTTTAGGGCTAGGTGGAACAAATGTAATTTCTCCTCTAGTTGGACTTTCAAAAACTTGAAGGTAGTGGTTCTCACCTTCTCTATTCGCCTTCCCACCCCTGATTTTCTCTTTTCTAGGCCTGATATTCCTAGTGCTGTTAACTGTTCATCTTATGACATAGTTTCAGGTCTTTTGATTTATTCCAGTCGTCCTCCTTTGGACGTGACCCTTCCTGAAATCAGGCCCCAGGTCTAAGCACAACCCTCCAGGTCAGGGCTGCTACTGCCTTCATGGCTCCATGCCTCCATGCCTCCATGGCATGTCCAAGGCAGCATCATGAACCTCTCTCTACATGGCGTGTTTCAGAAAAGTTCTAAACTAGGAGCCAGGAGACCTTGGTTCTAGTATCACCTCCTGAATAGGTCAAACAACTTCTCTGCATCTGTTTTCTGACCCCTGAAATAAAGCATTGTAGTTGGTGATCTTGAAGATACCTTTCCTGTTCTAAGATTCTAGGAGGCTGGAATTTTCAGCAAGCCTATGCCTGGAGAGAGGACTGGTGACCAACCTTAATGAGGAGAGGGCACCATTCACCTCATTCTTCTCTCTTTGTCCTTCTTCCTGGTTAGGCTGAGGGTAGGAGAAGCCTCAGGGCTCTCTCTTTTGCTTTTTAACTTAAACCAATGATTCTCAAAGCGTATGCCATAGCACTAACCTCGAATGGCAAAGATCTCTTGTCCCAGAGGGTGTCCCCCAATCCTGACCTCCACACTCTTCCCTAGCATCCTTGTGGGATGCCATGCCTCCTCCATTTAATGCCTGGGAATGGGGTGGGCTTGTGTCCCTTGCAGATCATCGGGAAAGATGTACTCGCCAGTGCCTATGGGGCCACTGCAGAAACCCTGTCCACTTCCACTACCACCCATGTTACCAAAGTAAGTACCATTTAAGAGATGGGGGAGGGTATCTGTGGCATACAGAGGCTTTCTATGAACCCAGCTCTATGGCCCTTGAGACAGTGTGGTGCAGTAGAAAGAATGCTTGATTTCAAATCGGAGACCCGGGTTTGAACTCTGGCTCTGCTACCCATTGCCTGTGTAACCTTGGGCAAGTTGCTTAACCTCCCTGGTTTCCTCATCTGTAAAATGAGGACCTTGACCTGGATGTTCTCCAAGGAACCTTCCAGCTCTAGATCTATTATCCTAGCACTCATGGGGAAAGCCACTAAAGATCTCAGTTGTGGCCAAGATCTGCCCCAAGCTCTCCTTATGACCTTGGGCAAGTCCCTTCTCCTTTAGGGGCAAAATTAGAAATGGGAGGGGGCAGCTAGATGGTGCAGTGGATAGAGCACCAGTCCTGGATTCAGGAGGACCTGAGTTCAAATCTGACCCCAGACACATGACACTTACTAGCTGTGTGACCCTGGGCAAGTCACTTAACCCCATTGCCTAGCCAAAAAAAAAAAAAAAAATTAAAAGAACAAAACAAAATTAGAAATGGGAGATGTTGGACTAAATTGAGCTAAATGGAACTGGAGGGCCACGTGGGAGGCGATAGACTAGATTGGGCTGGAAGGGACTAAAGGGCCGTGTGGGAGACAGGGGCTAAACTAGAGGGCCATGTGGGAAGCTCTGGACTAGATTCAGTTTCTTCACCTCTACAATAGAGAAAATAATGCTAGTCCTAACGTTTCTCTCTCAGGGTTATTACTGATCAAAAAGAAATATTTTTTTGAGCTCCTACTATGAGCTCGGTTCTATGCTAACTGTGTTAGGGAAGACTAAAAAAACATAAGACATGTAGCAATATTGTTCGAAGAATAACTGTGAACGACTAAGTTATTCTGAGTATTATAAATACTCAAATCTACTACAGAGGACCTAGGAAAGAAGGTGCTGTCCACCTCCAAAGAACTGATAAATAGAATTATGCATAGTGTGTTTTCCATACCTTACAGAGAAGGACCATGTAGGTCCTATATTTTCTTCTTCTTTTTTTTTAAATTTAATTTTGTTACATTTTATATATGTGTGTGTGTGTGTGTGTGTGTGTGTGTGTATGCATGTGTATCTGTGTCAAGTGATAGCCTTCTCTAGTGTGGGGTGGGGAGGGAGGGAGAGAGTTCACAACTTAAAATGTAATAAAATTAAATTAAAAAAGAAATGCAAGACATACATAGTCCTTCTGTCTAAGGTATTCACAATTTAGCGAAAGAGGTTAAAAGTCACCTGAAATGAGAACAAACTGCAAAATTTTGTGTGCTTAAAGGCACAGTTGAATACTGACTCTGAGGGCTGGAAAGATGTGATGAGAGGCAGTTTGGGATAGTGGGAGAGGTGACTCTAGAAGTCAGGGCGTCTGGGTTCAAATTCTGCTGTCTACACTAACTTTTTGACCATGGGCAGGTCACAACCGCCCTGAGCCCCCAAATAAAAAGGTGGGGAGATCCTTTCTGGCAGCAGATCCTCTGGTAATGAACCTTGTATGCTTGATCTGTGTCGTAGGGCTGGGAGGAAAGCTGCAGACCCTAATCGCTATGGAAATGTTTACTCGTGTTCCTTTTGCTGGGAGTTTAGTAGACAGGGAGATCGGTGGGAGATTTTAAGCAGGAAGTTAGACTGTAGCTGGTCTTGAAATCTGAGTAGAATTTACATAGGTGGTAGGCATAGGACTGGGAAAGCATTCTGGGTAGGGGGAGAGAAGAACCAGCATGAGTTGAGTCAGGCTATAGAAGCAGCAACAAATGTACATATTGCAGAGCATTGAAGGCCCTAGCCAGATTGGAACAGAGGGGTTATGCTGGGGTGCTTTTGGAAAGAAAGTTGGCTAAGAAGGCCAGAGCCAAGTGAGACGGGGCCCTATCTTATTTTGATAATAGAAGCACTGCTTTTGGGGGATGGGGCAACTAGGTGACATAGTGGTTAAAGCACTAGGCCTGGCATCAAAAAGGCGAGTTCAAATGCAGCCTCAGATACTTAACAGCTGTGTGATCTTGGGCAAGTCACTTAATTTTGTTTGCCTCAGTTTCCTCATCTGTAAAATGAGCTGGAGAAGGAAATGCTAAGAAGGAATTAGGTACTCCAGCATTTCTGCCAAGAAAACCCCAAATGGGGTCACAGATATTCAGACAGGACTGAAATGATTGAACAAAGAGGGGGATCAGTTTGTCTGGGATGTTGCACAACACTAGACATGGCAGGCCCAGTGGAGAAAGCCATTGTGCCAGGCATAGAGAAGGGACAGACCTGAAAAGCATTTCAAAGAAAGAATTTTTAGGATTCAGTGTGTCTGATCAGATTTAATGAAGAACAAACTGCAGGAGGAAACAAATTGAGGAAAAAGAAAAACCAGACATGTTTCTCAAGTTTTGAGTAACTACAGGAGGGGGGAACCTGTATGTGGCCTCAAGGCTGCAGGTTCCCCAACTACTGAACTAGGCAAATATACCTCTGCCCGGCACGGGGGCATGAAAGGGGAGGGTGTTTACGGCCCTGGATAGATTTGCGGTGATCATGGACAGACTTCCTGTGGTGGTGCCAGTAAACTAAAGTTTAGAAATATCCCTGGGTTCTAATCTCATCTCTTCCACTTGCTCTGGTTAAGTACCTTCCCCCATGTAGGACTTAACCTTCTGACCTGTGAATGAAGGTGTGGATTGGATAAGACAGTTTCTAACTTTTTCTATGTCTCCCTTCAGACTGTGAAAGGAGGATTTTCTGAGACCAGGATAGAGAAACGCATCATCATCACGGGAGATGAAGATGTAGATCAAGACCAGGTATGCCATCTGTTCTACCTAGAACCCTGTGCCTTGATCAGAGGACATCTGGCCAGGCTAGAGAAAAGGATGGGTGTGGGGTAGGGAACGAGTCCATTTCCTACTGTTCTAAGCTCTAATTTGGGAGCAGGAAGGCAGAAGGGTGAAAATTCAGTACAAAGCTGAGATCTGCCTTTCACAAGCGATGGACCTGTTACCACTGTGACTGACAGTGTTAGTGGTATTCATCACTCATCTTCTACCCTGCTCACCCCTCATGCCCACCCTTTATCTGGTGACCTGGCCTTGAGTCCCTGAGAAGCAGTGACTAGGAATCTAAAATGGCTTAGTGGAAAGATCCCTGGACTGAGAGGCCAGTGAGCTGGATTCAGATCTTAGCTTTTCTACTGATCTTATATGTGACCTAAAATAAATTCTTTTCCCTTTCTGGGCTAATTTCCTTCTCTGTAAAAATAAGGGTCCCTTGTCCTTTCTAGTTCTAAATGTAATGATCCTAAGATCCTTTTCTAGTATCAGGAAGTAACTTACTTGGAATTTGAGCAAAAATACCAAGACATTTTCCCCACTAAAAGAACTCACAAGGCACCCTAAACTTCCTTCAAAGCAAATCCCAGATCATGAAGAGGAAAACTCACCAAGCATCCAGTCTTTGTATATGGAGCTCATTAAGTAATCAGAAATAGGCTTAGGTCTCATAGGCAAAACTAAGAAGTGTTACCAGTGCTTGGTCTTTTCTAGAGGTGTGCTGGTAAATGTTTAACAACCGGCTGTGTGTGTGTGTGTGTGTGTGTGTGTGTGTGTGTGTGTGAGAGAGAGAGAGAGAGAGAGAGAGAGAAATGTATACAACACACTTTTAAAGTTTAATCTGCATTATTAACATTTTCTCCATGGCTTTTTTTAAGTCTAGACAATCAACAAATAATAAAGCAATCCCCTATGTAGCACTTGTCAATTTCTGAAGTGTAAACACTCACATTGAAAATTTAACAATCAGTTTTCCAAAACCAGTTTAAGCTGGCTCCAGCACATCTCTAATCCTTTCTTCTCCCAAAGCTCTTTTATCCCTTGGGGAAATAAGACATGCATTCAATAACATACAGAACTGTCATTTAATTGGTACCTGTGGGGTACCCTGTGCTGGGCTTTGGCCTGGTTGAGGGGAGGGGATATAGTGGTCCCTGTCCTCATGCAGTTCCAAATCTAATTAGCATAGAAAAGTCCCTGTGGATGCTGAAGTCTTTGGGTTTGGTTGGTGACCTGGCTTCTACCTCAAAGACATGTGCCCCAAACCCTAAATCTCAATCCTGGCTTCAGTGGATTGGGTTCATTTAGGGATATACCCTTCTCCTCTCCTCCCCCTCCCCCTGTGCATCCTGGGGTCTGGGTCTCTGGGTTTAAATTAGAGGTTGTTCATATCATACAGTGTCCTATCCTTGTGTCCCAGGCGTTGGCTTTGGCCATCAAGGAGGCCAAACTGCAACACCCAGACATGCTGGTAACCAAAGCCGTTGTATACAGAGAAACAGACCCATCTCCCGAAGAAAGGGACAAGAAGCCACAGGTAATGAATGCCATGGAAAGGCCCTCCACGGGGCTCTTCCTCTGACCCCCGATTACTCATGCACATGTTTATTGTTGTTGTTCAGTTGTGTCCAACTCTCTGTGACCCTATTTTGGGCTTTTCTTGGCAGATATCCTGGAATGGTTTGCCATTTCCTTCTCCAGTTCATTTTACAGATGAGGAAACTGAGGTAAACAGGGTTAAGTGATTCAAGGTCATATACCGAATAAGTGTGTGAGGCCATATTTGAACTTGGGAAGATGAGTCTTCCTGACTTGTGGCCCAGCATTCCATCCACTGCACCACCTAGCTGCCCCATGCACAGGGGGAGATCACAGGTATCCTGTATCCTGGGATGCATGGATGACCTCAGCCCTGGGACAGTTGCCTGCTATTAATCCTTCCAGGCTTTACAACCTCGCTCAAGTTTTTCTTCCCTTGGATAGGCTTCCTGGACTGGGGAGCAGCATGTTGAGGAATGTAGAAAAGAGTCTTTACAAGTATGGAATTAAACATGCATTTTCAGATACAAAAGGGAAAGGAAAGGGAAAGAGGAAGAAAGGAAAACAGAAGGAAGAAGAAAGACTAGACTGTGAGGCATCCTAGATTCTTGGCCCAGCTCTGCTACTAACTCATCTAGGCAAGTCTTGTGCCTCAGTTTCCTCATCTGTAAAATGAGAGAACTGGACTTGATGACGTCTGAGGTCTTTTCCAGCTCTGAGTCCTGGCCTGCCATCATTCCTCTTCCATGTCTGAAGTATCTTTTCTGCTGTGTCTCCTCCATCTAACACCCCCTGCCGCTGCTCTCCTTTGTCTGTTCCGTTCACAGCTCCCGTCCTCCCTGCCCCCCCCCCCGCAACAAACACGTGTACAAGTTCTTTCCAGCAAGGCTCCTCATTCTGGCATCCTCCCACCCCTGCTGCTCCCACCTGTAGATCTGTGATGGTAGCTTTTACTTGCAGCTGCCTCTGCTCCTTCTTTGGCGTCCAAACCTGTCTTTCTTCTCCTCCTCCTTGGGCTCTGTCGTCTACCTTCTTTAATTCTTTCATGCTGTCACCCCACACTGTGCCATCTTTCTCTTTTAGAGCCCACTTTCTAGCGGCGATGCCCTTCAGGAGCAGACACTTCATTCCCTTTATTTCTTATCCCAGCCCCTGGCCCCATGCCCCCCCACCCCCATGCAAGAATCACGTCCCAGGCTGAAGAGATCATGGGATGAATGTTGTTTGTTCATAACCCCTCACGATGGGACAGAACAAGTTGGGAGAGGCTAGAATCATAAGTCATTTTTAGAGCAGGGTCAAAAGGCAGGACAGCTAGGTGGCACAGTGGATAGAGCTCTGGCCCCAGTGGAGTCAGGAGGACCTGAGTTCAAATCTGGCCTCAGACACTTTACTAGCTATGTGACTGTAGGCAAGTCACTTAACCCTGATTGCCTCACCAAAAAGCAAAAAAAAAAAGGATCAAAGGGCAATGGAAAGAACAATGGGGCAGTGGTGATCAGAGAAGCCCGGGCTCGATATTTAATACCTGTGTGACTTTGGACAAGTCACTTAACTTTTTCAGGCCTCAGTTTCCTCCTCTATAAAGTTGGGGGGGGTTGGGGTTTAAACTAGATGACCTAGTGGTATCAAACAAATAGAAACAGATCCCTGGGGGCTGCAAATTGACTTAAACACCACAAGTTAACAGTATGATATATTAATTTTTATTTATTTCATTAAATACTTCCCAGTTACATTTTAATATGGTTCAGGAATATGGATTTGACCTCTCTGGTGTAGTGAATAGAGCACTGGATTTGGAGAAAGGAAAACCTGCCTTCAAATCCTGCCTCTGACATTTACCTGCCGTATGACCCTGGACAAGCCAATTGATCCCTCTTGATCTTAGTTCCTTACCTGTCAAATGAGACGGCTGAACTAGATGATTTCTAATTTCCCCTTCTAACTTTAAATCTATGATCCTGTGATCTCTAAGAGCCTTCTTGGCTCTAAATGCTATAGTCCTAATTAGTTCTGTTAGTGCTGGGAGAAAGGGAGGCTTTCTCTTCTCCTCCCATCTCTGAATGATAGAGTTGGTCTTGGCTTCCTCCCTCCCCCATCCTCCCTTACAGGCGCCTGCCCAGACACCCCTGGGAGCACCAAGGAGATTGCAGTTCCTGCTGGTGACCTGTTCCTTCCAAACTCAGTATTTGAAGCCTTTGAAAAGTGCCTCCGATGTTCCTACCCCTTTTTCCTTTGGGCACATTAAGACAGCGGGATTGGTTGCCATACAACTCACTGCTCTCATTGGAGGTGTCTGTTACCATGCCCACACCCCTGACCAGCAGCAGGGCAGGGGCACAGTGACCACCTACAGCATGAATACCACGTTCTCCTGCTACGTTCTACATGAGGCCAATCTCTGATCCCAGTGGGGAGCTAGACACCAGAAGTGGAGTGGGGCAGTGGTGAGTCAGGAGGCTACCATTTTGGTCTCACCTCTGCCTATGTATGTGTGACCTTGGGCAAGTCCAACGTGATATAGGTCTCAGTTGTCCACTGTGATAAGAAAGAATTGGACCAGATAATCTCTGAGGTCACTTTCAGCTCCAAATCCTGTAGCTGATTGATTATAGTTGATTATATAGTTGATATAGTTGACATTTTTGGGGTGATGATGATAACGACAATGATGATGATAATAATGATACCAGTAGTTTATATTGATAATATAATTCACATTTCTATAATGCCTAAAGGTTATCAAATCATCTTCCTCAAGAGCATTTCCTTTGGAGTTAGAGAACCTGGGTTCAAATCCTGCTCCAATGCTTATTGCTCATGAGTCCTTGCACAAGGCACTTAACCAGTTTCCCAATGTGTGGAGTGAGGAGATTGGACTAAGTGTTTTCTCTAGGGTCTCTGCTTTCCCATAGGATCTATAATTCTATAAAGTAGATAGCAAAAGTATAATTATCCCAGTTTAACAAATGAGGCACCTTCTAAAGTATCTGAATTTACTTCTGAAGTATACTGAATTTCCTTACAATTTACTTCTGAAGTAAATTGACTTGGCCAAGGGCACCCAGTGACTTAGGCTCTTGACCAGAGGATTTACAAAGGGAAGAATCTCATTTATGAGATCACATAAGCACTAGTGCTGGGATTCAAAGCTAGGGTTCTTGACTCCTAGCTCAATTCTCTTTCACCTACAACACAGATTCTTCACTTGATATCCATGAACTTTTAAAAAAAATTATTGTGATAATTGTATTTTAATATAATTGGCTTTTTTCATAATCTTATATATTTTATTCTATGCATCTAAAAACAACTGACAGCACAGGGATAGAGCACCAGGCCTAGAATTAGGAAGACCTGAGTTTAAAATCTGACCTCAGACACTTACTAGCAGTGTGACCTTGGGCAAGTCAAATTAACCTCTGTTTGCCTCAGTTTCCTCAATTGTAAAAATGAGAGTAATAACAGCACTTATCTCTTAGGGGGATTGTGAGAATCAAATGAGATGATATTTGTAAAAAATACTTAATACAAATTCCTGGCACTTGATGCTATATAAATGCTTATTTTCTTCCCCTTCCCTGAAACATGATTCTGGGAAATGGTCCATCAGCTTTACCAGACTACCAAAGGAAGCCATGACACAAACAAGGCTAAGAACCAGCTTGATGCTTCTCTGTGATCCCAGGGAAACAGTGACTGATGGAGCCTATGAGCCACCTGGGCCTTTTTGCTCAGCCAGGAAGGAGAAGGCTTGAGCTGGGAAGGTGGCAAGAAAATAGCCATAAATCATTAACTCATTTTGTCCTTTTTTTTCCTTTTCCTTTTCTTTTCTTTCTTTTTTTCTTCTTTTCCCCTCTGATCTCTCTCTTCTCTTTCCCCTCACACTGGACTTCCAGGAATCTTGACCCCTGTGCAAAGAAGTTGGCATCTCTATTCAAACCAACTTGGAGAGCAGTTGAGGAGAGGGCCTTCACACTGAATTCTGAGATTAGACACAGACAACCCAGCTGCAATGTTCCGTCCCTGCTGAGAGACTACAAAGGAAGAGCATATATATGTATAGATATATATAGGTATATATATATATATATACACACACATACACACACACACACACACACACACACACACACATACACACATACACACAGCAAACAGAACACAGCCTTGCACTGCTATGGAAGTTGCGGGGAAAGAAATCAAACCAACGGCTAAAGCAAACCAACCAACCACCTACGTTCGCCTTTGCAGACAAAAAAAAAAAAAATGGATGGGATTTTTAAGAAAAAAAAAAGAAAAAGAAGAAAAAAATGCTACCATGATAAAGAGAAATAAAAGCCAGACCCCTTGTGACATCGCAGCTGCCCAGCAAGCCACAAGCTCTGCATATCCCATCTCACGAGGACTCGTGTGTGATCCGCTCCTTCTTTTCCAACATTCGTCACCCATGTGTATGAGGGGGAATGCTTTGCAACAAAGCAAGCATCATAGAAGCTCCGAACAAGAAAAATGTTTGAAAGAAGGAAAGAAGATCCCCACTGGCAAAAGGAAGGAGTTCTTTCTCTCTGGGCCTGACACTGGGCTCTGTGGCTAGTATTCGTACCCCTCTCTCCTCCCTCCCCCAAACTCATGCTAGTCGTGACGTACTCTCTTGCCACCATTGCCCCACTCTTTTCCTCTCT